TAGCCTCCAGGATACCTCACTCCCTAGCTGTCCTTCCTCACCTGACACCCCATCCTAGCCCCAGCCTGGTTCCTTCTCACCTCCCTGACCTCTACATGTGGAAGCATCCAGGGCTTCGGCCCCCCTTGGTCCTCTTCTGTCTGTCCTCTCTCCCTGGGAGCCCCTACCCACTCTCAGGACTCCACCGTCTGTGAACAATGACTCCAGGCCCCGAGCTCTATGAGACCTATCCTCTGAATGCCACGCCACCTGCTAGACTGTGCCATTTGACACCTCGCAGACCCTCAAACTTAACGTACCCCAAATCGAACTATGGTTTTTTTGCTCCTTTTTTGCCCCCAACTTCTACTCCACCCATAGCTTCATTTCTGAACATGGCAACTGTCCTCCTCAGGCCAAATGCTCCTCACCTCCTCTCTATCATCCGTCAGCAGATTCTCCTTCCAGCCAGAACTATCCAGGATCTGGCCACTTCTCCAGCCCTCCACCTTTATCTGTGGCACCACCTTCTCTCTCCCAGGTAGCTGCAACAGCCTCCTCATGGATCTCCGTGTTTCCACCGGTGCCCTGCCCACCCATCTGTTCCCAACACACAAGCTGAAGTGAACCCATCAGCAGGGAGGGCAGGGCGTTACATTCCTGTGCTCAGACACCACCACAGCTCCGGTCTTGAAGCCTGCCCACTTCCCGCAGCCTTCAGCCTGTCCCCTCCCTGACTTGTCCTCCTGCTGTTCTCACTGGCCACCTGCCCCTGGTCACTCTGGTCACCCAGGCTGGCCAGACAGGCCTGCTCCCACCTCAGGGCACCTGCCTAGAACCGCCCCTCCCTTTCCACCTGCACTGCTCTCTCTTTCACCTCCAAGTCTTTGCTGAAATCCCCTCTGCAAGAGCTTCCTTGACACCCCTATTTAAATCTCCAATCCCTTCCAACTCCCTGTTCCCTTTTCCTGCCATCTTTTTTTCCCCACAGCGTTGATCACCTTCTAATGGACTATACAACCAGTGATGCTCAGCCTCAGCAGTGCTGAGATTTGGGGCCAGGACATTCTTTGTTGAGGGCGGTCCTGTGCACTGTAGGGTGTTTGGCAGCATCCCTGGCCTCAACCCACTGGATGCCAGACTGACACTGGCCTATGAAGCCCTCCTCTACACTGTTCACAAAGCTCACTCCTGCACCTCCAGGTCTTTGCCACGATGTCAACCCAGGGGAGCACCAAGAACCGCTACTATATAAGCAGTGTGCTTTCTGTCTCACTCTGTCTCCTCATGCTAGGATGTCAGCACCGTGAAAACAGGGGTTTCTAACTGTTCCAATGTGGTATCCTATCCCAGCGCCTACAATAATGTCTGCAGAGTGTGTGCTCAGTAAACACGTTTTGAATGAATGAAGGCTGGGCATCCCCTTTGGACAAGCTATAAGAACTTCCTTGTCTTTTTCTTCTTTTTTTTTCTGGAGACAGGGTCTCACTCTGTCATCAAGGCTGGAGGCAGTGGCGTGATCTCTGCTTACTGCAACCTTCATCTCCCAGGTTCAAGAGATTATCCTGCCTCAACCTCCTGAGTGGCTGGGATTACAGGTGCACGCCACCACCCCCGGCTAATTTTTGTATTTTTAGTAGAGATGGGGTTTCACCATGTTGCCCGGGCTGGTCTTGAACTACTGGCCTCAAGTGATCCTCCCGCCTCGGCCTCCAAAAGTGCTGGGGTTACAGGGGTGAGCCACCACGCCCGGCCAAGAACTTCCTTTTTAAAAGATGAGTGTACCCTGTAATATGTAAGCAAGTCCTTTTAAGAACCCAGTGATCCTACGAAGCTGCACGTGCCTTTAAGAAGGCCGAGCATCGCCTTAAACAAGACATCGGTGCTCTGTAAGAGCGGGATCCCATTTAGCAAGAAGAGGGCAACCGCTTTAAAACACCGCGCCACACCCTTAACGCAGGCTGGACTTCCCCTTTAACAGGATGCTGCCACCGCAGACCCATCTCAACCTACGTCGAGCTAAACGAGGGATCGCTTTGAAGCAACCAGGTCTCATGAGTTTTTTCTTCATTGTCTGGGAAACTCACTGGCCTTTAATGAAATAACCAATTTTTAGGAGGAAAGAGTTTTTTTAACTCAGAAAGCTTTTGCAAAAATGCAAAGCCTGACCCACCCTCTCAATGCAACCCCTTGCCCTTTAAGAGGGCGGAGCCAGCCCGGGGGGGGGCAACAGTCGGCGGTGAAATAGCGACCTCCCCTTTAAGGTACCCCTTCCGGTTTCACGCTCCCACCCGCCCAACGTCTCCGCCCTCTGGTCCCTCCCCCCACCCCCACCCCTCCGGTCTCTCACCTGCAGTCCCAATCGGGGGAACGAGGGTGGGAGCCCCAGGACCTTCCCGCGGGGGCCGACGGGAAGGTGGGGCCCCGGCAGCGGCGGTGCAGCTGTGGGGGCCGGGGAGGGGGGGGCGGGGGCGTACTCCCTCCCAACGGCCCCCGGCGCGAGGCACCCAACCTTTATCGGCGGCCTCTCGCGCACACAAACCCCGACGTCGCCTTGGCGCGTCATGACGCAAGTGCGCCGAGTTCCCGCCCCCAGACCCTCCCATTGGCTGCCTCAGGCGTCGCAGGGCTCCCGCGCAGGCAGCGTGCGGCATCCTGGGACTTGTAGTTCTCCCGGTTGTGGTCCCGGACTCCAGCTGTCAGGTCCTTGGGGCCGAAGCCCGGGTAAGCCCAAGACCGGGTACGGCCATTTCGAGACGCGGAGCCGCACGTTCCCCTTTATTAGTCCCGATTCCCGCTCATCTGCAGAAAAATCTTTCCATGCAGCATGGTTGTACAAAAACCCCTCCCATGAAGCCGTCGCGCCCCCACGGTGTAATCGCTCCTGCGGGAAACCGAGGCCTGGAGCGCTTCCCGCCCCTCAGCAGAGCCGCGTGCCCAGGGCTTCGTGCACGCTCGTGTGCTTCGTGCACGCTCGTGCAGACCCTGCAGAAACCTGGTTCCTGCTGGGCAAAGATCTGTTCAGGGCGCCTGGAATCCAGAAACTCCTTATGGGGCCTAGGGTTTTAGTGGGAGACGGAGCTGCTCCAGAGCCCCTTTCCATGCTCAACCCCCGACCAACCCAGCATTTCACCCACACTGGCATTTCTGAGGGTCATTCACTTCACGGACTTTCTCAACCAGGGCACTAGTGCCATTTGGGATGGATTCATTGCCGTGGGGACTGTCCTGTGCACTGTAGGGTGGTGAGCAGCATCCCTGTCCCCCAACCACTAGATACAGATAGCATCCCCAAGCCCCGCTCCACACAGCCCTTAGGAGAGTTCAGAATATCTCCAGGTGGCAAGGCATGGTGGCTGATGCTCACGCCTGTAATCCCAACACTTTGGGAGGCCGAGGTGGGCGGAACCCTTGAGGTCCAGAATTCGAGACCAGCCTGGCCAACATGGTGAAAGCCCGTCTCTACTAAAAATACAAAAATTAGCCGAGTGTGGTGGCCAGTGCCTGTAATCCCAGCTACTCGGGAGGCTGAGGCAGGAGAATCACCCAAGTCCAGGACGTGGAGGTTGCAGTGAGCCAAGATCACGCCACTGCACTCCAGCCTTGGCAACAGAGCAATACTCTGTCAAAAAAACAAACAAAAAAGAATATCTGCAGACATTACCAAATTGTTCCACTAGTCTAGAGCCACTGCTCAGAGACAGTCCCCTTGGGCTGAAGGCCATTCTGCATGCTGTTTCTCAAGCCAGAAGGCCCTTCTGCCCTTAACCCCTCCCTGCCCAGCAAGATCCCGCTGGAAAGCATCCTGTGCTAGGTGGAGTCCCTCTTACATGCTTTGCGACATCTATGTCCCATGACACCTGGGACCTTTTGTGTATTTGCTGCCCTATTCCAAACAAGCCTGGGCCCTGATCGAGAAGCAGACGTTACTTGTTTGTTGAATGAGTGGATTTTTCCAGCCTTCCACACAGTTTCCCCAAGTCTACAAGCAGGCTGGAACTCAGGGCTGATATGCGCTGAAATGGACCCACCCCTGTCTTACAGGGTCTTGGCGGTGATGACTCTGTGTATTCGTGCATGTAAAACCCTTGGCATCCAGCTCAGCCGAAACATTCCTTTCATGTCTGCATTAACCACACAAAGTGGGTGCCATGCCAGGTGGGGACATGGATGTGCAATGCACTGCCCAGCTGGCTGCCAAGAGGGGCACAGAGCCCACTGCCATCCCCCTTGCCTCAGGCCAGTTGGGTCTCTCTGATAGTGAAATGGGCCCTCAGCTCAGCCCCCCTCATTTACCTGCCCACCTAGAGGCATTATAAAAGGGATTAGACAACTACCCTGGGCAACATAGCAAGACCTCATCTCTACAAAAAAATTTTTTTTTTTTTTTTTTGTTTGAGACGGAGTTTCGGTCATTACCCAGGCTGGAGTGCAATGGCGCGATCTCGGCTCACCGCAACCTCCGCCTCCTGAGTTCAGGCAATTCTCCTGCCTCAGCCTCCTGAGTAGCTGGGACTACAGGCACGCGCCACCATGCCCAGCTCATTTTTTGTATTTTTAGTAGAGACGGGGTTTCACCATGTTGACCAGGATGGTCTCCATCTCTTGACCTCATGATCCACCCGCCTCGGCCTCCCAAAGTGCTGGGATTACAGGCTTGAGCCACCGCGCCCGGCCAATCTCTACAAAAAATTAGCTTCGTGTGGTGGTGCATGCCTGTAGTCCCAGCTACTCAGTCAGCTGAGGTGAGAGAATCACTTGAGCCTGGGAGGTTGAGGCTGCAGTGAACTGAGATTGTACCACTGAACTCCAGTCTAGGCAATAGGTCAATACCCTCTCAAAAAAGAGAGAGAGGCATGGCTAAGACCGGCTCTTCCTCTCCTTAGCTTTCCCTACTTTGCAGCGGAAGTCAAACAAAGGTTTTGAAGTCAATGGCCTTGGGCAACCTGCTGTCCCTAAAAAGGTGATGTGGATTCAACAGGTTTGTTTTTAGAACAGCCTAGCCCTGCCTTGGAGCCAGTAATGGGAGCAGACTGAGGCCAGCCCTGTGAGATAATGAATGTACGTTGTTTAATCCCAATGCATTAGTGGCTATTTCTTACATAGCGTAGATAACGAATACACTCATAATATCATAAGAGTCTGCTAGTGTAAGGTCTTTTAGGCTTACCGTACCATGGACTGCGCCATGGTAACCTCTGTGACCTGCACGCACGCTCCGGATGAGTTCCTGGAACTAGAAAGTCTGAAGTAAGTGGAAGACCACAAAAAGAAGAACGATCAACCCCTGTGGCACCTAATTAATTTTGAGTCATTCTTCCATTGTTCCTTATTCCCACCTCAACTGATAAGGCAACTGGACTTTGTAACCAACCTTGGTCAACCTCCTGACTCTAGACCCTACAACCCCCTCCCAACTTGCAAAAGCCACCCTTAACTGTAACTTCTGTAACTTTCCACTGCCTACCCGAAACCTATCTACCCGAAACCTATGAAACCAATTCCTATCCCACCGCCCTCCTCCGCTGACTCTCTTTTCAAACTCAGTCCGCCCACACCCAGGTGAATAAACAGCATGTTGCTCACACAAAGCCTGTTTGGGGGGGTTTCTTCATTCAGAGCACGTGTTTAACAGCTAGGACCCCCAAAAGAATGTTCCACAGACTGAGTGGCCCCAACAGCAGAAACGTATTTTCACCTGGTTCTGGATATGGAAGTCCGTGGTCAAGGTGTCAGCAGGGTGGCCTTCCCCTGAGGCCTCTCTCCTGGCTTGCCGACAGTTGTCCTCCTTGTGTGGCCTCCATGATGCTCCCTCTGTGCATGTCTGTGTCCTAATCTCTTCTATAAGGACACCAGTCAGATTGCATTAGGGCCCACCCTAGTGACTTTAACTTAATTGCCTCTTTAAACACTTTCTCCTAATATCCTCCACTCCAGAGCTTGGGAGTTACAACTTCAGCATCTGAATCTGGGGGGACACATTCAGCCATGGCCTACCTTCTCTCAGAAGAAGAGTTGTGAACCAAACGCGACAGGGTTAGCCCCTCTGCATCTGAGTTGGGGACACAAAGGTGATACATTGTGACTCTGCCATCTGCATATTTTTATTATAAATTTTAAGGGGGCTGGGTGCAGTGGCTCACGCCTATAATCTCAGCACTTTGGGAGGCCAAGGCGGGCAGATCACTTGAGGTCAGGAGTTCGAGACCAGCCTGGCCAACATGGTGAAACCCAATTTCTTTTTTTTTTTTAAATAGAGACGGGGTTTCACCACGTTGGCCAGGATGGTCTTGATCTCTTGACCTCATGATCCGCCCGCCTCAGCCTCCCAAAATGCTAGGATTACAGGTGTGAGCCACCACACCTGGCTTTTTTTTTTTTTTTTTTTAAAGAAACAGGTCTGATTGTAGAAACCCAGTTTCTACCAAAAATATAAAAATTAGCCGGGCATGGTGGTGCATGCCTGTAATTCCAGCTACTTGGGAGGCTGAGGCAGGAGAATCTCTTGAACCCGGAAGGCAGAAGTTGCAGTGAGCCGAGATCATACCACTGCACTCAAGACTGTCTCGAAAAAAAAAAGGGAAACAAGGCCCCACAATGACTGGGCAAGAGGGAGCAGATGAGCAGATGGGGACAGGGAGGGACAAACCCTGGGTTGTTCCTGGATTGCTGGACTGGCTGTGACACCCCAATCCAGAGGTAGGGGGATTAAGGGGTGGGGCCCCCACATTCCAGCTGTAGCAAGGCCTGCAAAGGAGGTTGGGGCAGGATCTTGAGGTCAGAGCACCGCACCTGCCCCAAACCTTCTGTGACTTTCCATCATGCTTACCTTCATTGCCCAACCCCTGCCCGACTCTCAAGGCCCTGCGGGTCTGGCCCCCCTCCGCGTCTCTGACTTCACCTCCTCCAGCACGCAGTGAAGCAAGGTGCTCAATAAATGTTTGTTGAATTATTAAATCCACCCCCAACACACACAACATTTCAAGGGCTAGGATGGGGAGACTAGGCTGGATTCCTTAGTACCTTCCAGCACCTGGAAGTGTAGGTCCTCAACAGACGTCCATGAAGCCAGCTCTCAGCTGTGGCTGATTCTTCTCAGTGACAGGAGAGGGCCCCACATTCTGGGGCCGCACCCCTTGAGTCAGGCTGCTCAGCACAGGCTGTGGGGGCGCCCCTGGTGGACAGTCCCGAGGCCGCAGCCTGCAGGCAGCCACCCTGAGCGGGACAGAGCTGGCCAGCTGGTGTTGCTCTTGGCCCCTGGGCTGTGTGTGGAATGCAGATTTTGAAATAAGAGCTAACAGATGACAGTGCACATGATAAAGTGTGTATTGAGGTAGCAGAGGCCACACCCCAGCCACGTGGTGCGGCCCCTTACTGGCCCTCAGGGTCAATCCTTCCCTCCCATCCTCCAGAGACCCAGGGGTCCACTCCCCTCAGCCTCTCACCAATGGACCCTGGACCCTTCCCTCTGTGCCTGAGACCTGGAGTAGAACAGGACAGGAAACCTTGAGGCTCACCCCCAACACCGCAGGCGTGAACCAGACTCACGGCCATCTTGAAGCAGGAGAATAGCAGAGAAGTCGGGGGCGGAGAGGACCCTTGGATGTAGGTTAGCTTCAGCATAGCAGAAGCAAAGTGTGTCAGAGGCAGAA